CATGTATCCATACCATGAAATACTCCTCAACAATTAAAAGGAATAAACTGCTAGTATATGGTAACACATGCATGAACTTCAAAAATATTTGCTAAGTGAAAGACCCAGTCAAGACTATGTACCATTAGAGTACATGTTTATGACATGTCCAGAAAATTTACAGATTCTGCTGATGGTTGCCTCAGCCAACCAAGACTAGCTGCAAACAGGTATAAGAAACTCATTGGGTTGATGGACATACTCTATGGCTGAATGAATTATGCTGATGGCTGAATAACTCTATAATTTACTAAAATCATTTAATTATACATTAAAGTGTATAAATCTTTAATGATATATATATTATGCCTCACAAAAAAATTTTTTTAAGTAACTAGCAAGGAATAGCCAGTAGAGAGCTATAAAAGAAACAAGTTTCACAACATACTGGTAACAACTAAAGCTGAGTAATAGCTAATAAGAATTCACTGTTCTAATTCCTTTTACTTTCAAAGAGGGTTGAAATTTTTTTTCACAATAAAAGGTTTTAAAAAGAAAACAAACCACTTCATGAAAGAGCATGGATAGATAGTAAATAAGCACATGAAAATGATGCTTAACATCATTAGGTTTTGCATAAATGCATACTAAAACCACAATGAATACCACCATGGACCTATTACAACATCTAAAGTGGAAAAGAGTAACCACATCCAGCCTGGGGAGGACACACAGCAACTGGTACTGTCAGTCATATACTGCAGGCGGGAATGTGAAAGGGTACAACCGCCCTCGAAAAAGTCGGAAAGTTACTTAAGTTAAAAATGAAGCATCCAGTCCACTCTTATGTATTTACTGAAGAGAAACGAAACCACTGTCCACACACAGCTGTTCACAGCAGCTTTATAATAACCAAAAAAAAAGAAAGAACTCCAATGTCCATCGACAGGTGAATAGATAAACTGTGCTATATCCACACAACGGAACACTATTCAGCAATAAAAAGAAGTGAACTATTCATATACACAGCAACACAGATAAGCTGGAAAAGAACTATACTGCATGGAAGAAGCCAGACAAGACAGAATACATACTGTATGGTTTTATTTACATAGCATTAAATCAAAATTCTAAAACTGCAAACTAATCTAGGAGGATGGAGGCAGATGAGTGGTTGTCGGGGGATCACGGGGAGAGAGGAGTCGAGGGGGGTGAACAGAAGGGAGGGACTACAGACAGCACGTGAGGAAACTTTCGGAGGTTACAGACACGTTCATTACCTTGATTGTGATGGTAGTTTCACGGGTATACACGTCAAAACTTATGAAATTGTACATTGTTAAGTTTACCATATATCAAATATATGGTAATAAGGCTGTTTGCAAAAGATTGGTACGGTGGACACTTGTGTGGGAGCAGGGCACAAGTGACGGGGGACAGGAGGGACTTCTGGGGCTGTGCTAATGTTCTGTCTCTTGGCCTGGGTACTAGTTACATGGGTGTGTTCACTTTGAACACTCACAGAGCTGTACACTGAGGATCCACACACTTTTCTGTATGCCTGCTATATGTCAATTTTTAAAAGTTTATTTAAAAGAAAATGAGATACAACTACGCACTCATCAAAATGTCACTCTTTTTCATTCTAGCGAATGCCAAGTGTTTACAGAGATACGGAGGATCTGTGACGCTCACACACCGCCACTGAGAGTGTGAGCTGTACCTCCACTTCGGAGAACTGGCTGCATCAACCAGAGAGGAGCAGAGACTCATGGACCCAACGTCCCAGCAGTTTCTCTACGTGTGCACCCAACAGAAATACATCCATATGTCCATCAAAAGACAGGTGTGAAACTTGCTTAGAAACATTAGTCAAAATCATCCACAACTGGTAACAACTCAAATTTGAACCATCAGTAAACTGGAAAAACAAACTGTGATATATTCATTTAGGGGATAACATATAATAATAAAAAGAATGAATTCCTACATGCAACACATGTGAAGCTCCAAAACATAATGCTGGATGAAAGAAATCAGATACAGAGGAATACATACTACACGACACCATTCAATTCAAATTCAGAAACGGTCAGAAGTCTGAAGGTGACAACCATTCTGATCAAAGTCAGAGTCCTGGTTGCCACCAGAAGGCGTGAGTAACGGCTGTTTCCAGGGCCCAGGGTACAGTTCTGCACCTTAATCCGGGTAGCAGCTGCTTGACTCTGCTTCATAAAAATTCATATAGTATACTCAAGATTTGTTCATCTTACTATATATGCTATTATTTCAATTTTACACTCTTCGCCTCTACACTGAGCCAGAGAAGAAAAAGAATTCATTGAAAAGGGGCGCCGGTCCTCCCTGAGCACACCCGACCACCAGACGGGGTGTGTCTCCACGTGGGGGACGCAGACAACAGGCCTGACATGATGGGCACCTCCAGGCAAAACCCACGGAAAGAGTGTACCCATCACCTTAGGGGTTTCCCTACGATGGACAAGAAGTAAAAACCACTGTTTTGTCCACCAAAAAAGAGGACAGAGCTAGGTTTTTGTATAATCTCACAAAATAAACTGAAAATTTAATTGTAAAAACATTGAACAGTAAGAAGAACTAAGAAAAGTTACCTAAAAGGCAAAAATGACAACAAGAATAACCAGCAAACTGGCTTTCCATGAATGTGTCCTAAGCAGAGACCCACTAGAACACTCTAGTTTCTGGATATGATTATTTTATGAAATTTTGAAATATATATTATTAGGTACCTTGCACAGTTTACATAAATTATTATATAAAATTGAATAAACAAAACCAGGCATAATCTACTTGATGGACAAAATTAAAGAAATTTTTCAAGAGTAAATCTGACTGCTCTGGGAAATGTAATTCCATTTTACTGTGCACATACAACACATAAATGCGTATTTCCATACACATATAAATACATACATGCATTTAACAGAAGATGAGACAGAAGTCTAACTTTAGCATTTAGAGTTAGAAAAGTAAGAAAGGCACTAAAATAGTACCTAATTATATTGGAAAGAAGAGGATGAAAAGAAATGGCTTAGGAAGCTACTTTTTCATTTATTATGAGGTAATCAAGCAATGTTGAGAGCTGACAAATCAAGAATCAGTTATAAGCACATTATTCAAACACATGGAAATGATCACCAGGAGGACAAGTTAGGCATTGCTTTTAACCCTTTCTCTGAGGAAGACCAATCAGTAGCGGGCCCGACGGACTACTGCTTTTCATACAATTCAATGTGCTGTTCTGTAATTTTAGTCATTAACTTGGCCTACTCACTTAATTGTTAAAACTTTAAGTCATGTTACAAAGAATATATCATATAAATATTTTCAACTTTAAAAGACTGTGCATTTGATCACTACGGAAACATATTTGTAAAGGTCACAACAGCTATTCCTGATTTCACAGGTTTAAACAAGATAACACATGTAAAATAACCAGCAAAGCACCGGGTATAATGTAAGGATTCAATAAATGTTGGCTATCACTACTAGTGTTTATTGTATATGCACAGAGTAAAGGTTCAACACTAGTATAGTAGAACTGACACTATGCATTACATAAAGCCCCTGATATATAATAAGCACTCAAAAACTAATGACTAAATTAATTAGCCTATCTAGCTTTCAAGAAACAGATAATTCTCTTCCAAGACTATCAAATAAAATATAGACAGACAGCTACTTGGTTAACTACAATGAAATCAGAACAAAGCTAAAATCAAAACTTGACAAGGCACAAAATATCATGTCCCAATTTTATTATTTATAGTAAAAATATCAACAGCAGCAGTAGCAATAGCGGTCACCATGTACAACATTTCCTGCATGCTAATTTTTCCTTCTAACATTCCCTTGTATTTTTTAATTGTGTTATAAACACTACTTTTATCATTTTTTTGAGGAAGAGCCAATTTTTTTTTGGAGAGGTGATCAATTTTAGAATAGTACTCCACAAAGAAAGTAACTGTTGCCCTGGCTGGTGTGGCTCAGTGGATTGAGTGCAGGCCTTCAAACCAAAGGGTCGCTGGTTCGATTCCCAGTCAGGGCACATGCCTGGGTTGTGGGCCAGGTCCCCAGTAGGGGGCACACAAGAGGCAATGGCACACTGATGTTTCCCTCTCTCTTCCCCTCTGTCTAAGAATTAATAAAATTTTTGAAAAAAAAAGTAATTGCTTACAAAGGTCAAAATTTCCAAATTGTGTTAAACTATTTCTGTACAAGAAAGGTTAAGTTATTAATTCTTACATACCCATTAGTAATATATAAACATAATTTTTTCTTGGCACATTTAGCTACCTGGGAGCAATTAAGAATCTAATTAAAATATAAGAAGGAGCCCTGGCTGGTGTGGCTGAGTGGATTGAGTGCCAGACTGTGAAGCAAGGATGGCTAGTTCAATTCCCAGTCAGGGCACATGCCTGGGTTGCGGGCCAGGCCCCCATTAGGGGGCGTGTGAGAGGCAACCACACATTAAAGTTTCTCTCCCTCTCTTTCTCACTCCCTTCCCCTCTCTCTAAAAATAAGTAAATAAATCTTTTTTTTAAATTTAAAAATAAAAGAAGGATATGCTTAAATTTTCTGTGCCATACTGAAAGTACATCATTCCCTACAAATAGGGGCCTAATGAGAAATAAATGCCTAATTCAATAAAAATACAATTAACCTTTCATAAAACAGCAGAGAATGGGATACATAAGGGAGAGTAAGTAAATGTTCTCATTATTATTATGTATGCTTGTAATCACTTTATAAATATTATAAATATTATCTTCACCCAAAAGGTTCACGACATTCTTTGTGGTAAGGAACAATGTAGATCCTCATCTGAAGAGTCAGGTGGAATAAAATAGGAATCAAAGTGAGACAACCGGAAATAAGAAAAGGAGGATGCCGGGACACCAAGGCTTCTCTCCAACCGACACGTGCCCCTGCTTCAGAAGGACAGGCACGCCTCGCACGGGGGCCTCCATTCCCAAGCTTACCTGTGCATACTCTCTCTCAATAGCCGCCTTCTTCTGACTGAATGTCCTAAAAACACAAATAAAAACAATTCATTACCAAAAGTATAACAATAATTTCATGTAAATTTATCAACCCACCCTCAAATACGGCCTGATAGGCTGTGTTAAGTGAAGAGATGATTTTCTCTCATCCTATGTGCCTAGGAATCGTGCTTACATCACAGCCCCTGGAATCAGACAACCTACATTCAAATCCTCGCTCCACCACTTACTAGCTGTATGACCTTGGTCAAGTCACTTGACTTCTCTGTGCCTGAGTTTCCTCTTTGGTAAAATGGGGTAATAACAATACCCACCTTATAGGGATAATGCAAGATTTAGTTAATTAAAATACATAAAGTACTCAAAACAGTGTCTAGCACACAATAAAAGCTATATAAAAGTTAGCTACTGTTATTAGAATGGCTAGTACATAGTAGGCACTAAAAATATTTATTAACCAATGTAGAGAGAACTACAGAAAACAAGGTTCAAATAAAATTTTCATCAGCTTCTCAATGTGAAAAAAGAGCCAAATCATTTCCTTCCTCCCAGCCCGCTCTGAGGGTCGCAAAACAAAGCACGTGTTGTGGCGTGATGGGAGCGCCCTTTACACACACACACACACACACACACACACGTTTCACAGATTCCACGGCAAACACGCTCCACATTTTAACATTTATTATGTTAGGATTCATCTTTTATTAATGATTGGTGTTATTTTCTTCTATCTTAACATTGATGAAGGAACAGTATACCTTACAAACCATAGGCAAGGCAGAATCAATGAAATATGATAATACCAACAATTTAACTTGAATAGTCTGAGTTTAAAGACTTTTCTACAGGTGCCAGATACATGTACTCTTAAAAGCACTTCATTGAAACAGATATCAGGGAAAGTGAAAAACATAAAGAAAAGAGCTGGAATAGGGGGAAAAAAGCAATAAGCCAAAATTCCCACTTTAACAAGTGTTTAATGGCTATTCATCTTATATGAGAAATACAGCCATTTAAGATTTCACTACACTTGTTTTGGGCAAATAGCTACTATGTAGCCTTAGAAAGGAAGGAAACCCTTACTTGTGCTATCATATGAATGAACCTTGAGGATAATATGCTAAGCGAAATAATTTAGTACCAAAATTTACATACGATATGATTCCATTCATATGAAGTTCTCAAAGTAGTCAAATTCAGACAGACAGAAAGGAGAATGTTGGTGCCAAGGGCTGGGAGGAGGGGGTCAGAGAAGTTATTTACCAGGCTCAGAGTTTAAGTTCTGCAAGATAAAAAAGGTCTGGAGATGGAAGGTAGTGAAGGGTTCAGAACAATATGAGTGGACATGATACCACTAACTGTACACTTAAGAATGGTTGAGATAATCAATTTTATATTGTGTGTATTTTATTACAATAAAAAAATGGAAAAACAAAGTTGAGCAAGAACATTTTTCCTTATGGTGTGCTGCACATTATAAAGCATTTAACAGCCCTCTAAAATACAATTAGTCTACTCACCTTAAGAAAAAACACATAAACTACATATTATATATGTATGTATATATGCATTTATATATTGTATTTTACATGTATAGACACACACGTACCTGTGTGTATGTGTATATGTTGGGGTTACAGAAGTCTCTCTCTATATATAGATACACCAAAATAGTACCAAAATAGTACTGTAAGTTTTCTCTGGGTAGAGGGATTACAGGCTTTCACTTTCTTCTTTCCCTTTTGCATCCTGTATTTTCTGATGTTTGAGTAAGAATTTGTCTTGTGTTTAAAAAATGTATAGTCCTTATTTTTCAATAAATAAACGAACACTCACAAGCATATGCACACACCTTTTTACACCTATGTTGTTTTATTAAAATTGGATTTAGGCAATATGGCCATTTCAATGTTACATATTCTAATCCATCAACACAAAATATCTTTCCATTTCTTTGTGTCTTCAATTTCTTTCAACAAGGTCTTGCAGTTTTTGGTGTATAGGTCCTTCACTTTCTTTAAATTCACTCCTAGGTATTTTATCACTTTTGTTGCAATTACAAATGGGACTGTTCATTTCTTTTTCTGATATTTCATTGTTGGTACATAAGAACACAGCATATTTTTGTATTCTAATTTTGTATCCTGCAACTTTACTGTATTTCTATCATTTCTAATAGTCATTTGGTGGCATCTTTAAGGTTTTCTCTAAGGAGAATCATGTCATGGGCAAAGAGTGAGGGTTTTACTTCTTCGTCCCCAATTTGGATGCGTTCTGTTTCAGGCCAGCCTGGCCGCTCTGGCTACAACCGCCAGTACTACGCTGAGTAACAGTGGTGAGAGCAGGCGGCCCTGCCTTGTCCTGACCAAAGAGGAAAAGCTTTCAGTCCTTCACTGCTGAGTATGTTAGCTGAGGATCCATCATCTGTGACCTTTATTATGTTGAGATACTCTCCTTCTATACCCACTTTATTGAACACTTTAATCATAAATGGATGCTGTTCTTGTCAAATGCTTTTCCTGCATATATTTACGTAATCACGGGATTTTTATCTTTTATTTTGTTAAAGTGGGGTATCGACATTGACTGACTGGCATACGTCGAACCATCCTTGCATCCCCAGAACGCAGGCCATTGATCATGATGTGCTCTCTTTTTAATGCATTGCTACATTTGATTTGCCAACATTTTTTTCAGGGTTTTCACATCTATGTTCTTTAGAGATATTAGCTTGTGATTTTCTTTGTGTGTATGCGTGTCCTTGCCTGGTTTGGTGTCAAGGTTGTGCTGGCCTCATAAAACTAAGTTAGGAAGTATTTTCTCCTCTTCAATTTTTTTGGAAGAGTTTAAGAAGAATAGATATTAAATCTCCTTTTAATGTTTGGCAGAATTCACTGGAGAAGTCAGTGAATTATAAAAAGCAATCTAATTAAAACATGGGCAGAAGACCTGAACAGATACGGCTCCCAAGAAGACACGCAGATGGCCAACTGTTAGATGAGAACATGGGCCTGGACTTTTGTTTGATTGCTGTTTCATTTTCCTTAGCATTCAATTGGTTCATTTAGGTTGTCCATTTCTTCATGGTTCAGTCTATAAAGGTTATATATTCCTAAGAATTTGTTCATTTCTTGTACATTAATGAATACAATCCCCATCAAAATCTGGCATTTTTCACAGAAACAGAACATAAAATACTCCAATTTATATGGAACCACAAAAGACTCCAAAGAGCCACAGCAATCTTGAGAAAAAAAACAGCAAAGCTGAAGGCATCACACTCCCTGATTTCAAACTATAGTTCAAAGCAACAATAATCAACCCCATACAGTACTGGGAGAAAAACAGACACGCAGACCAATGCAATAGAATCAAGAGCCCAGAAATAAACCCAAACATATATGGGCAACCAATTTCAACAAAGGAGCCAAAAACATGCCATGGAGCAAGAAAAGCCTCTTCAGTAAATAGTGTTGGGAAACTTGGAAAGCCACATGCAAAAGAATGAAACTGGATTGCTATCTGATACCATATGCAAAAATTAACTCAAAATAGATTAGACATGAACATAAAATCTGAAATAAAGTAGAGAAAAGAAAACATAGGTACGAAACTTATAGACCTTGGTCTCAGAGGAGTAGGTTTTTGTCAACTTGACCCCAAAGGCAAGGGAAGTAAAATCAATAAAAAATGAGACTCCTTCGAACTAAAAAGCTTCTGCACAGCAAAAGAAACCATCAACAAAACAAAAGGCAAACAACCGAAGGGAAGAAGATATTTGCAAAGCATACCTCCAGTAAAGGCTAATCTCCAAAATATATAAAGAACTCAACAATAAAAAACAATCTAATTAAAAAACATGGGCGGAGGACCTGCACAGATATGGTTCCCAAGAAGACACAGATGGCCAACTGTTAGATGAGAGGATGCTCAACTTCACTAGCTAAAGGGAAATGCAAATCAAAACCACAAGGAGACATGTGACACCTGTTAGAATAGCTATTGTCAATAAGACAGGAAATGACAAGTGACAAATGAGAGGATGTGGAGAAAAGGGAACTCGTATACCCCTCTCCTGGAAACGTATATTGGTATAGCCTCTAAGAAAAACAGTATGGATACTCCTAAAAAAATTAAGAATAGAGCTACTATATGACCCAGTAATGGCTCTTCTGGGTATCTACTTGAAAACCCTTAGTCATAAAGATATGTGTACCCCTATGTGCATTGTCGCATTATTCACAAGGGCCGAGATGTGGAAACAGGTAACCTAAGTGTCCTCCAACCGATGACAAGGCGGACCAAACAGAACACTACTTGGCCATTAGAAAAATGGAATCTTGCCATTTGTGACAACATGAATGGATCTTGAGAGTATAAGTGCTAAGTGACATAAGTCAGATGGAAAAGGGCAAGAACCATACGATTTCACTCGTACAGGGGCTATAAAACAAAAAGCAGCAAATGGACAAACAAGACAAACTCACAGACACAGCACAGTGATCACTGGGAGGGAGGAGGGGTGGGGGAGGGAGAACAGGGTAAAGGGAGTCAAATACAGAAGCCAGTGAGAATGTTGACAGTGAGCACACGATGGAATACGCAGACGATGTTGTACAGAGCTGTGCACCTTAAACATATGTAATGTTATAAAATAATGTTACCCCAATAAATTTAATTAAAAATTAAAATTAAAACTGGACTTAGAAATTATCATGACTAGTGCTACCAAATATGTTATCTCCCTACCCAATGTAAATACTTAGGCAAAAGAAACTAAGCTAAGTGAACTAGCTTACACTTTCACCATTAAAAAAAAAAGTCTGAAAATTTACCTATATTTTGAAGATGGTATTTTAAGTGTTTTATAAAAAATAAAAGTAAATGCTTAAGCTGTTTACTTATTACCCTTTTAAACCTATGTAACTCATCTGGAAATAAGAATGCAACAAATATAGTCTGCAAGAAAATGGTAACTAACTCTTTTACTCTGAACACGCATAACAACTAATTTCAAATTCTTAA